ACCTATTTTCCTATAGTGACAATCAGGTTTTTGCCACACATTCTCCTTGGTGTTCCTAGGTAGCTAAATGTTGGGTTTAGGGACATCACATGATTTAAGAACCTATCACTGTAACCTGTGCTTACAAAAATTTTAATTACCACCCTTTTGCTTACCAACTAACTAACTGAACTAAAAAGAAAAGCCCAGATTTTTTTTTCACCATGCTAGAGACACTAGAGGGTAAAAATAATTCACTTTTAGTCTGATTCCTTGATGGTGTCAGAGATTTTGCATTCTTTCAATTCTGGTCTGTTGCCTGAAACAGGACCACCACTCAAAGACAAAGGCCTAGAGATCAGTAATAAGGCTCAGCTGGGGTATGGAGTCGAAACAGGCTTCTGTAGAGATAAATTACTCTCAGTATCTCTGCTTTCTACATCACCATTGCAAAGAGACCAGATTTCTGTCCGTAGGAATACCCAGGAGATGCTCAGGAATTAACTTACAACTCAAAGCCAGCACTCTGGTGTCTTCCCTAAGTCCCTGGCAACACTTAGTTACTTCTCCAGTATTTCTACTGAAGTTTGTGTAAGACTACCATTAGAATGATTCAAGTACTATCTAGTTTCAAGGTTTTTTTAACCTGAAAGTCATTTAAAGAGAAATAAGGAGAGCGAGATCTTCCATCCACCAGCTCACCTGTCAAAGAGTTGGGCCTAAACAAAGCTGAGAGACAGGAGCTTCTTCCAGAACTCCAACTTAGGTGCTGGGGTCATAGGACTTGGGGCACCCTGAGCAGCTGGGACATAAATCAGCATCCTTATGGGATGTAGGCTGCAAGTTGTAGAATTAGCCTGCTACACATCACCAGTCCCTCATGTACATTGATTCTATTATTTTCTTTTCTGTAGGTCTTCTCTGTAGATTGTGAGTTCTACAAAACAGACCAGGTCTTTTCATCTACACAAGCCAGTCTCTGTAGATTATTTGCTGAGAAACTTAAGAGATGGCACGGGGTATGTATTTTGTTCATGAATAAATGAAACCAGCAAGACCCCAAATACACAAGTCAGGCTCAGAAATTAAAGGTAATAGGAAGAGATACAAGAGAGATGAAAAAGAGCTCAGTGGGGGCAGCAACCCAGTTCTCACCAATCCTTCCATCCTCTGAAACATTTGAGTCAAAAAATCTTGAAGGGAAAACCCAGTTGGTTTTAGCCTGAATGCCCAAAGACAGGGAAATACACTGTTGTCAACAGGGGATCTTTGTTACTCCTTCTGATTTAGCCTGCTGTGTCTGCATGAAGGAGTTAATTGACCCATGATAAATAAAGCCTAGCCTTCACCTATAACCAACTCTCCTGACTTACTCTAATCACTTTGCCAGTGCTACCTTACAGGTGCAAAACATGAATCCAATAAGACCATGCAGTTAAGTACTTAGCTCAGGCCTAGGTCACAGTAAATACTCAGCGCGCTTTATAAGTATTATTTCTATGCTTAAGCTGAATAATCCTTCTCAAGCAGACTTGATGCAGAAAGTACTCTTATAAAGCAAAATTTTGATGGAGACAGGAAACAGTTCATTTCAATAGGGCCGGGTACCTAGAGAAAAAAATGTCCTTGTGCAGACAAGGCAGGGGGACTGAACATTAACCAGCTAAAGACAACCTGAGAACCAAAACCTTAGACTGTACGTTAATAAGATAAAAGAAGAAGGTCCCAAGACCTGCAGTTAACAAGCTGAAGAAAACTGAAAAACACCCAGGACTGGAGACACACTAAAGGTGAGGTTTGGGAGACAAGAAAGCAGGATATTCTCACTGTCGGGTGAACATTTATCCTAAAGCAGTCTGAACAAACTCTCCAAAAGGTCTAAACCCCTCAAATCACACTATTTTTTTGAGAAAAGGCTCTTACCTGGTCACTCAAATTCGGAAAGTGCAACACGAAGGAAACATCTTCGTAGGCTTTCAGCCTCTGGTGTGTGGTAGGTAGGCAGGCAAACCCAGGGTGGCTTACAGCCCACTACTCATTTCCCAGCATTCCAGTTCCTTCCCCACCCCTGGTCCTCATTGGCTGAGTAGTATGGGCCTACAATTTTCCCAGCATTTGCTTCAGCTGTTTTGGCCCTTGTTAACAGCCTGTTCACCTAAGCACGTTCAGGTGCATGGAGCATAGTTGTTATGCTAGCTAGCTACTTGTTTGTAAGTTGTTGTTAGCTAGTTTCTACTTACAGCTAAACGCCTGACTTTGAAAACCAAACAAATGTTTACTTCTCACACTTTCGATGGCCTCTCCCCTGCTGAAAAAAACCTCCCTGGCTGCCTTCCCAGGGAATCTGTGTTTCTTTCAAGAAGGTCTTTCTCTTTTACAAGATCCCTCTTGTTGTCCTACTTGGCTGAGAGCGTTCCCTCTGATCATCTCAGTAAGGCTTTTACCCCTCTGTGTCCCTGTCTTCAGTGTGTTTAGCACAAGACAGTGAACCTGAACGGCTAGCACTACAAACATCACTTTTAGCATTTCTGTGTCCCCAAGGGTTGTTTTCTGACAACCATCAATTCTATAATAACTGCTGAATGTGCAACAGTTCAGCTCAATTTTGACACCAACTCTGGAATTAGTACCAACATCATAGCTTATGGGCTCAGTTTTACAAGCCTTCAGCTGCTTCAGACACCAGTTCCAAAATAGAAAGCTTTCATGCTTCCATTCAGGCTTATTGACATGCTAGAAAGACAGATTGTAGGGGGAAAAAAAGCCCTGAAGTTTACCTACTTTGTTATAAAGGCTAAAACTCAGATGGAAATGTCAGATGGAAAAGATGCACAGGGCAGAGTATAGCAGAGTGTGGAGTTTTCATGCCCTCTTTGACCTCCCTTTCCCACCCCCTTCAGCCTCCCCGTCTTAATGTACTCACCAAACTTTAGTCCCCTCCTTCCTACCTTGAAGCCAGCATGGGTAGAAAGTTCCAACTATCGAACACTTGTCTTTCTAGTGATCAGCCCAACACTGCTGTCTAAAAGTCCTACCACAAGTCATCTCGTTAGCATAAATTCAGGGGTGATCAAAAGGGGCTCCTGAGGACTAACAGAATATATTCCTGTCACTCAGGAAATTCCAAGTATTTTAGGAGCTCTGTGCCAGAAACATGAGATAAGAACCAACTGTGTATTAACGTAATCACAAATCCCAAAGTGCGTTTTAAAATCATAAACAAAGCTCCTGTAAGTCTCAATCTCGGAGCCACAGGATAACAATCTGATGAGGCAGTCCTAGTTAGATGCCATGAACTCATGATGGGAGCCGTCAGTCAGTCTGATGCTCATCTCAAGAATGCATGGGGCAGCTGGAGAGGAACTCTGCTTCAAGACCACAACTGTCCTCAGAGATGCATGGGATCCCCTTACCCCCAACCCCCATGGCCTGTTCACCTTCATACCCGCATCTCTTGGAATGGCTTCTCACCTTTCCATTCCATGGATCAACAGGTCCCAAATACTATTGAAAATAGGTTTTTCAACATGGATATCTCTGCTGACAAGGGGTCATCTAGAGTATAAATACCTGAGTTTTGAGAGGTAGCTCTGACCAGGCTTATTCATTGTTTCCGACCCCCACTGAGATTTGTACTCTGAAGAAGAAAATAGTTTCTGTCAGGCACAATTGCTTAATCCAGACTTCACGTTCTGGGCCTAAGTGTCATAACCTGCATTCCAGGCACTTGGCTTCACAAAAAGAATTCAAAATACAGGCACTCAAGTAGTACTCACAAGTAGACCGTGTTTGTTTGAAGACAGGTGAACATTTGTGCATAAGTGTAGGTAACCACATGGAGAAATACCTGTCACGAGTGGGCCAGAGAGCTGCCCATGAGTAGACAGGGAGGGGAAGCAAGCTGAGGAAGATTGCTGAGTATGGTCAAGAGTGGAAAATCTCCCCTCTCCCCACTACCATACACACATTGTGGCATGCCATCAATTTTATTATGAGTAGGGAATGATTCCTTAATTGTATATACAACTGGGGTTTAGTGTGCAGAAGGTATATTAACTTTAGGGTGCCTTCACCTGGATTTTGACATCATGGTGTCTGGTTCATGTTTCTGAGTGAAACAAGGATGTGACATGGAAAGGTGGACTGATAGGTAAGGGGATAAAGTCACAATGCAGGAATGGCTGAAATCCTACTTAATTACCCCCATTTAACTTCCTGCCATGTTTCCCATATTATTTTGGCCCTTGCTTTCCATGTGAGAATCTTCGATGTGGTTCTGGGACCCTGGCTTTGACCAGGCCCAGTTTGGCTGTTATAGGTGCTCCCATTTTTCTTTCTTTTCTTCCTTTCTTTCTCTCTTTCTTTCTTTCTTTTTTTGTCTTTCTCTTTCTTTCTCTATCACTCTTCATTTTAAGTAATCAAATTAGTGACTTTTTAAAAAATTTAAGAGGGAAATTAAGCTGTTATCTGTTCTCTCCCAAATGCCCTCAATGGCTGGGGCTTGTTCAGGTCAATGCTTGGAACTCTGTCTGGGTTCCATGCCTAAGTGGCATTTTCGACCTCCCAGGTGCTCATTATCAGGAAGCTAGAAAGAGAAAGGGAGGCAGATATCAACCTCTGTTAGGGGATGCAGCATTCCGACTGGCGTCTTAACCATGAACCCAGCTGCCTTTCCCCAAGAAAGTGGCTTTAACTATTTAGTGCATGTATGTACCTACAAGAGTTAAAAGAGCATCAACCAAATAAATGAAGAAACATCATACAGGAGCTATACCTGTACTAATTTTCTAACATATCAAGATCTTTGTCTTTAAAAGGTTGCTATATTCATTTATGAGCTGAAATTCTTGAATCCATTGTAGCATTACCATCAGGAATACATGTTTATCACTTGCCGGAAGCCAGCTTCAGCCAAGTTTGGAGCTCAACAAGGGTGTGTGGATTCGATGAGGAAAAGAGACACGGACACGGTCACCTGGTACCCTCTACTAACAGCTCAAGAAGCTGTTCTTTTTATTTTCTCAGATATATCACAAACTTCTGCACACACACTTGATTGTTCTATTTTTATTTCATGACTAAACAGGTACTCTTAAAGACAATTCTGCAAAATACTATATTCATTTTCTTGAAAGCAAGCCATTATTCATTCTTCAATAGTAGCTACTGGGGTGACAGCCAGGACTACAAGGCCAAAGCACATGCAATTACCCATTGATCAGTAATACACTCCTACCACATTTCTACTGATACAATTTACCTATCACTTAAATGGAGAAATACATTAAAAGAAAAAATACTTCTATTTTTACAACTTACCTATTACCTATCAAGGAAAACATATCCTAAGGAGAAAAAAACAACACAAAAATTCAGAGTAAAATTTTAAACATTAAATCCCTCTACAACTACGAGCTTTACAACCCCATAAACAAACAATAATTAAAGGCATATTTCTATAGCATTAATAAAAGCATCCTTTAATTCCTCTAGCCAAAAATCATAAAGGCAGAAATAGATACATTTTATCTGCTCCAAAGAATTGCAAAGACAGGCTAGCCTTTAAGTTAACAGTAACTATTTGTATCACCATAGTAGTTTCAGCTTATATTCCCATCACTTCCATTAATTTTTAGGATACATATCAAGCCATTTCCCAGAAGGCATGATACTTGTCTGGGCCAGGTTCCCGGGCAATAGTTAAGCACACCATAAGAAATGGCATGGGCTTAATTGTATTCCTGTGTGGAAATTGTTAAAGGCCCATTCATGAAGACATTATTAGCAACGTTAACTCCCAAGCTCACATTGGCTGCAAAAACCATCTCACAAAGGGCAAACAATAGTGCCTCAGTAGATTACAGAATTCTTTGGCAGGATGGTTGAGTGTCCATGCAAAAGGGCTGAATCTGCATTGAGGAGATGGAAGAAACATCCGCCAGGCCTTGCCATACAGCTTCAAGCTCCTCGCGGCCTTGCCAACAGGAGAGCTGTTCTCTTTATATCTTCATGTTGTCCACACCCACTGCACAGAACCCAGCAATCACTATCAGAATTCATGTAATGACATAACTAAGGCCAGAAGTAAGACATCAAGAATATTCTAGGGTTGGCTAGGAGGTACTCTTCTAGACCTGGAAGGCTGGAGGAAGCAAGGTAAAGGAAGGGAGATTAATCTTCTCTTGACAGGCAGTCACCCTTCAGGAACCCTTGGAAGGAACAGCAGAAATAGGAGTTATATGGTGAACTGAGTGCAAACAGAACTATTCAGAATCCTGTAGGCCAGAAGCATTATTTCTGCCAGCTGTTGATTAACCATGGGAAACACCATCTACATAATGGTGCAGCTAGGATGGCTAAGAGAGGCAGAAGCTAAGCAAACCACTCTGAAAGTCTACCCTAATGGCCACAAGCAATTCCCACTGCCCCACCATCCCAGCTGTCCCTGCCTCCCGCTCCTCCCCACCCTCACAACCACCGCCACCCTGGCCTTCTGATAATCTGGGCTTGTACCTTCCTCTGTATCCTTGCTCAGTCCTCGTGGAGTTCTTTGGGGATCGGGTTGCCTGTGGCCTGGCTCATTTTTTCATTGCCACCTTCAGGCCCAGATGCTGACAGGAAAAAGTCACCTATGCCTGAAGCAGTATTCCTTAGCAGGTGGCCCAATCCCTTCTCAAAACATTCGGCTGCTTGTGATAGATTTCCATCCTGCTTGTGAGTTAATCCTCGGAGATAATAAGAATGTGATGCATTCTGTGGAGACACATTTTCATCTCCGTTCTTTATGAGGTGTTTCAACTTTTCATTCTCGCTTGCTTTTTTGCCTGTAGGCAAATCCCCTAAATAATGCTGGGCAGGAGTGTCTTCAGACCTCTTGTGATGCAGCTGCAGGTGGCAAGAGTTCTGATGGGATGCTTCTCTCTCAGCATCAGGAAAGTCTTTCTTGAAGACTGTCCCATAGTCGTCGTCGTCGTCTTCTTCTTCTTCTTCTTCTTCTTCTTCTTCTTCTTCTTCTTCTTCTTCTCCTTCTCCTTCTCCTTCTCCTTCTCCTTCTCCTTCTCCTTCTCCTTCTCCTTCTCCTTCTCCTTCTCCTTCTCCTTCTCCTTCTCCTTCTTCTTCTTCTTCTTCTTCTTCTTCTTCTTCTTCTCCCAGGAACTCAGAGAAATTAGAGTCTGCACCAAAGGCCTTTAGTCCCTTTTCATGAGCTTCGTTTAGATAATATCTTCTTAGTTCTTCAATCTTCTCAATATCTCCAGGCTTTCCTGCATTCTGCATATTTTTTATTTTTGCCTTGTAATAGTATGCAATCTGGCAATAGAGATAGCCATTATTTGGGGTACATTTTAATGCCCTTTGAAGCAGTTCAATATTTTTGTCCCAGTCACCTTTTTGTCTGTAAAATCTGGCTGCATTGCGAAGGACATCTGTCTGGCAAGGAGCTTTCTGCAGGGCTTCTTCAACAAGCTGCTCCCCTTCAGCTTCTTTATTTATCCTCCTCAGTGCCTGGCCCAAGATAACTTTTAAGTACTGGTTGTCAGGATTCAGCTCCACGGCCTGTTGCAGAACACTGACAGAGTACTGCTTAGATCGGTTATTATCTAGATGATACAGCGCAATTGCTAGCCCAGAGGAGAACTCTGGGTGGCTGGGATTCTCTACCAGAGCCTTCTCAAAGCACACCTTAGCGCTTTCATTTCTTCCACACTTCAGATGTGTCCACCCTTCCTCGCCATAAAGCTCAGGACGCTCAATCCTGTAGGGGTTTGCAAGCTTCTCACAGGTGTGTCTCACTTTGTCTACGTAAGTCTGAGCTTCTGACAGCTGGCCCATGTGATAGTGGACCCAGGCATAGTTACCCCAGGTGACCAGGCTTTTGACTTCCACTTGACCATTTTGCTCTTGCTGAATGATCTGTTCAGCTTGTTTTAAGCATTCCAGAGCTTCCTCATTTTGGCCATTTAAGTGTTTTATGTAGGCCAACAAGTTGTACATTGTAGCTTTGCGCTCAGTGTTTAAAATTTCAATCTGGTTGCATACTCTCTCTTCTAAATCACTTGGGGCACGTCGTTTTTTGAATAAGTTCCAGGTGAAATGGCATTTCAGCTGTGGAAGGATTTCTTCCAGGGAAGTCTCAGTGACTTTACTGTTGAAAAGAAGAAAAAAAGCATGATCATTATCATGTACATTTGCTAAGCATGTCTACTTGACAAGACCACAGTATGTCTTACATAGGATTAAAGATTATTTCTAGGACCGGCACTATGGCACAGTAGGATTATCTGTCTGCAGCTTCAGCATTTCGTATGGGCAACAGTTCATGTCCTGACTGTTCTACTTTCAATCCAGCTCTACTTACAGCCTGGAAACCAGTAGAGGATGGCTCTTGGCTCCTCGCTTTGGATTGATCTAGCTCCTGTCTTTGTGGTCATATAGGGAGAGAATCAACTGGTGGAATCTCTCATTGTTTGTGTGTTTGTCCTTTTCTCTGTAACTGTGACTTTCCAATAAAAATATAATAAACAAATCCCTTTAAAATAATTTTTTTATTTATTTATTTTTATTGCAAAGGCAAATTTACAGAGAGTGAGATAGAGAGAAGGATCTTCCAACCAGGACAGGAAATCAAAGCCTATATGGGATCCCAGTGCTTGAAGAGAGAGGCTTAGCAAATTGAGCCATTGTACCTGGCCCCCCAAAATAAATAAATCTTTTTAAAAAAATTAATTTGGGGGTTTGGGTATTGGGGTTGGGACAAATGTAGCTCCATGCAGTGTGGAGGCAGTGGGGGGTACAACAGCCAGGCCAGACCCAATGCTGGGGACTCAGGCTAAAGCCACTGCTGAAAGGCAGTGACTGAGTCCTAGGCTTTCTCCAGGCCCGAGAGCTCTTCCCTTAGGGTAGTACACCATGAACAAAACTTGGAAACTGGATTAAAGTCTTAGCTCCACCCTGACACTAATATCTTGCAGCAGGAGGAGTTTGGGCAGTGTTTTGCCATGGGATTGGAGCAAAAAAATTGATTCTGGGGGTTTGAGCCTTGGGGTTGGGGCAAATGCAGCTCCCTGCAGTGTGGTGGCTGTGGGGGCGTGCCCCAGACAGGCTGGACCCAATGCTGGGGACTCAGGCCAAAGTCACTGCTGAAAGGCAGTGACTGAGTCCTAGGATTTGGGCAGCCAGTGCGCCTATTGGGCACCAGGCTCTACGTACTGGCCGCTTGGCAGCGAACTCCTGGGTTTTTAGGATATATACTTGTTGCCTAGGGACACCCATAAATAAAGCTAGTGTGAGTGTAAGATGAATTCTAGGTGACTCCCAGTAATGGGGTCATGAAACTTTTAGTCAAGTGTGGGGACTGAGACCTGATGGTTTGGAGGGGAGAATCATAAGATCTATTTGGGCCAGACTGATTCACCAGCCCAAGTAGGAATCCTGAGATGGGTGCTAGGATTGACCATCACTGACTGCCACACACAAGTATACACGAAAGCTATGGATGGGGGCCTGTTTGGCAGGCCTAGGTACCAGTACCTGACTCAGTGGTGAAACAATGGACGGGTCACACTTGGCAGGGTAAAGGCACTAACCAGCACACAAGAGAACTAGGTCCAGGGGGTAGATTCTGTGGGGGAAGTGCGGGCCATACTCTATGGAAATACACATTCCGCAGGTTAGCTCACAAGCTGGGGTGGTGATAGACTGAGCTAGGTGTGACCATAGCACCTGCTATCACTTATAGGTAAAGCAACCAATAGCAGTCTTGGCACGTCAAGGCAGCAGCACCCAAAAGTGCATCCTAAAATAGGTGTGGGGTAAGTCGAGTTGCAACTGGAAGGGGGCAGACCAGGCAGGGCTTAGCAAACCTCAACTCACAAGGAAGAACAGAATTCAGGATAGGGCACAGGTCATGCTGAACTAGGCTCTTACACCAACTAGTCTGCATAAGCCAGGGATACTAGGCCACAGCATCAAAGGAAAAAGCTGAGACAGGTGAGTGACTAAGCCAAGTGGGTCAGAGCAACCACTGGCAGGTGTGTAATCTAGGGCTGGGTATAGGCTCAGTTGGGAAGATGTGAGAATACACCCTTGCTAGGTTGGGGTATCCACGGGAGAGTGTGGGGGCCGAGTGGCAGCTGTGTTCCGGTCTGATATGGCTGCAATCTCCCTTGGCACAAGTGTGAACTGGGGCTGGGCACACTGAGTTGGGCTAGACGCCAGCACCACTTGGTGCTGTGGAGAACCTGGGTAGATGTAGGATGGACTAGGCTGGGTCTCTGCTCCTACTGAGCCATGTGTGAGCAGTGTCTGGATATGGACAAGCCTTGGCTGGGCTGAAACATCCAACAGTAACAACCGGGATGGATTAAAGGCTAGCAAAGAGGGCTGGCCCATTGACCCACCAGTACACGCAAGATCTGGCATAGAGAGAGGTTCTGATGGAGGAACTTGGGAAACTCCTCTGATGGGACACAGTCCCTGCAGGTGAGCACAAGAACCACTATAGGGAGCAATCCAGACCAGGCCAGAGAAAGATACCCACCAGCATACATATGGCATAGGTGGAGGACAGACCAGACTGAACCTGTTCACATTACCTACTGGTGAATCTGAGCACCAGAATAGAGTGTGGGTTGGCCAGGTTCAGTCGCAACACAAAACAGTACACATTATGGAATGCCAAGGTGGAGTGAGCTGTACCAGATGGGGTCACAGCTCCCAAACAGCACACGTAAGAACCAGAGAGGGAGGGGGCAAAGCCAGCAGGGGGAATGTAGGCTCCCATGCTGATTTACCACTCCCACTGGAGAGCGTGAGTTGTGATGGGGGCAGACCAGACCAGGCAGGGCTACAACACTTGTGGGCCTCATGTGAGCTAGAACAGGGAAAAGCCAGGCTAGGCTGACTGTTCCAACAGGTGCAAGCTAAAATTAGAGTGGGTGAGGGTTGTTTGGGCTTTGCCACAACATCAGCTGGCAGAGGCTGGCACTAGGGGCTTAATCTGTCAAGTTAAACTCCAGAACCACCTGCAGAGTGCATAATCCGGGAGTGGGAGTGGCCTAGGAGGGATATAGTGGGCACCTCCCTCTTGGGTTACCACTTCCACTGGAGACCATAAAAACCAGGACAGGGCCACGGGTGGCTTGACAGAAAGGCACCCGCCAGTAAGTGTGTGGGCTGGATAGTAAGGTTGGTTGGGTTGAATTAGGCGTAAATGCCCACTGACATATATGAGAGCTAAATGAGATGTGGGACAGACTGCACAAGTCTGCAGCACATACTGGCATGCAGAGAACCTGGGTAGAAGGTAGGGGTGATGGGGAGTCGCCCCAACTAGGCTGCAGCTCCCACTGGTTTGCATGAGGGCTGAGTATGAAGTGGGCAGGATCGGGCTCAACTACAACACCACTGGTTCAAGAAGAAGACTGGGCTGGAAACAGAAATGACTCAGCAATTGCAAAGACCACCATGTGCATAAGCTGACTGGGGAGACAGACAGTGCCGGACCCTGTACTGGCAAGCACATACACAAATAGGTCTGGAATCACCTCAGACAAAGTTTCTTTGGAGATCCCTCCAGCTGAACTGCTGATTCAGAACCCCAACCATGAAGAGACTATGTCAGCCAGTGGATTCTGAATAGATTTCATAGTGCTTGGAATGGCAAGACTGGCAGCAATTCAGAACTGTTGAACTATCAAAACTGCTTGAGCAGGACCCTCAGAGCATGCCCCGCATCAGAGATCTGGGATGGGTGGGAGGTTGGGTGGGGCTTCTCTCTGTTTCTCCCATTACCCCAGATACGGGGGAGGGGGAAAAGTGATGATATTAGTGTGCAAACTATGGTCCTACCCACTTTATGTAGCCCTTGACTCTTTGTACCCTAATCAACTAAGTAAGATTATTTTTAAAAAAATCAATTCTGAGTGTGCGTTTATGTGTAAAAGGATGCATCTGAAAAAGATCAGCATTTGGATTGGCTGACTAAGTTGGGTAGACTTCTCTCCCAAAGTCCTTGGGCTTCCTCTAATCCGCTGCGCACCTGGAAAGAAGGGGGAAAAAAGGGAGGAAAAAAGAATTCTTTCATTCTTTTTCTGTAACTGCTTGAGCTGCTCAAGCTTCTTCTGGGTCTTCCCTATGGGTAATTACCGCAATGATTTCTTTGATTTACAATGGGCTTATTGGCATTAGCACCATCATAACTTAAGGGACATCTGAACTTATGATAATTTGACTCTTTTTTTTTTCTGCTTAACAGTGTATTAGTCAATTGTGAAATATGTCTTCAGTTTTGAATGTCTTCTACTCACAGTGAGTTTACCAGGATATAATCCCATCATAAAGTCGAAGAACATCTGTATACCCTATTATTTCTGCTTTTCTAATATATTCCTAAGTCTTTTCTAGACACATACTTTGACTCCTAAATCCACATTTTATAGCTGCAGTCTGTGGGCATCCCTCACATTGTATAGGCACATAGGTAGGAGATGAGGAAATTGGATGCAATGAGGCAGTTGTAGTGAGAGAAGCTGAAACCCAACTATCGATCCTCACATATTCTGGGAAGGGTATATTTACCCATCCAGTGATGCCTTCCTGGGATGCCTCCTTTTTGTCACTTTGTCACTTGTTAACAACTAAGAAAGGTAAAACAGATCTTGGCTTTCTGCTCCAGGAGTTTGCACTCTGACTGCAAGGAGCCATATAAGGAAATAAAAGCCCAGATAGGTTTGCCAATGTGTATGGGATATAGTCTGTTGGCTTTCACCTGCTCCACTCTCGCTCTGTACTCCTCCACAGACTCAAGGTGGCTTAACTTGAGAGTCTGACTGAAGTGGCCTCCCTACCACATGGAACAGAGTTCCATTGCTTCAAGAAAAGAACAAACACAATCAGTCAAATGGTGCTTTTTTTTTTTTTTTTTTTTGAGCACACTAAAGATCCCTTAGCCTAGTTAGTTAAATTAGTTGTAAGAGTTCACAAAATCTCCATTTCCCTGGTGTTTCAGATGTGTTTTGTTTTGTCTTGTTTCGTTTTTTTACTGTCTGAGTTTGTGCTCTATTTTTTTTTTTACCATAAGATGGAGATGAACTGAAGATATAATTAAACTCATGATTGTCCATTTCTTTTTCTAATTTGGACAGGCATGGACAAATTCAGTAAGAAATTGTTATTCATTTAATTTTTTTAAATCTTTTTTGGCCCCCCCCCTCCAACTTACGCAGGTAGTGCCTCCCTAAGTCATATGATGCTCACAGTTTTGAGCTAGGGTAGAAAGTGAATGCAGCTGGTGTTGAGAGTGGAGCTCTCCTGGCTGAATGACTGCTCCAGCAGGCACACAGGTGCAGGCACATGCTTCCAGCTGCTGCCTCATAATGTCCTGTGCTGCCCCAGAACACAACCCCCACAAAAGGCCATTATCAGATGAGGCCCCAAGACCACACATCTCCAGAGCTGTAAGCCAAAAATCTCTTATAAATAGCCTACATCAGGTATTTTGTTACAGCAATTGAGAAGAACCAAATAGGGCTGCCAACTTATTTGTTAAGACAATTATATGAGGGGGGGAAAAAATCACCAGAATATACCAACCATCTAGTCTTGCCAACATTTCATTGGGAAAATAAGAGAAGAGGAAAAAGAAAGAATTACTACTATCATTAAAGAAGCTTAGACTCTAGGAATAAAGGGAAGCTCTTTCAGTTGAATACATTGGGCTATCTGAAGGGCGACTGCCATGATTTGCAGCTCTTTGTGGACCAAACCTGGCAAACACACAGCAGTTGCACGTGTTAAATCTAGTTCTGTTCTTATTTCCCAAGGATTCTGACCTGAACCATTTTTGACCTACGATGATTGTGGTTAGAATGCTTTACAGTGAAGGATACAAAATAGTATTCACCCAGAGATTTTAAAAAAAAAACTGTAAGCTTTGAAATTCAAAATTCAAAATAAATACCAATACTCATTTATAACAAATATTTCTCCCACTTGCCATCTTGAAGCAATCACAACTGGCTTCAACGTAAGTTGGGTTTACAGTACCAATTCCTTCTTTCACAGTCCCTGATGAAAATACATACTTCTTTTTAAAATTCCAAGAAAAAGACACCTGATTTAGTTCTTTCACATCAAACAACTTAGAAACCCTCCAAGAGTAATTCCATTAGTGCTGCCTTTGTAGCTACAGGCTTTGTGCCTGAAGGAATCTAATTTCTGCTGAGTGCCAAGCCTCCCTGTCACCCCAGCAACCAGCTCCACACAGTCATCAATGCTAACCGCGAGATAAACCTGAGCATGTACAGCAACAAAGTCACAGAAATTGAGCAAAGACAGGCTGTTCCCTTCACGGGGAGTAGTGTGACTCTTATCTGGCAGTGTGAGTGTGCAATGCATTCCACATCACTGACCTCATGCTCGCAGTCTGTGTCTTTGCAGTTCCAAAATGCTGGGCAGCAGGATGATCTTCTTCCACAATCTTCCTGGTGTGCTCCACGTCAGTGAGACAAGCACCTATATAGGAGGGAATCGAAGAGAGCAAGAAATCAGCTGACGATTTCTCCTGTGTCTGAAAGGGAAGAGGAAACAGAAAAGTGAAACTGACTTCAAATCCTCACGGCAGGGAAAACGAAACTGACTCAACCACAGTGCGTGATTCCAAACTGTGATCCTGAAACTACTGTTTGAAAGAAAGCAAAAACAGTCCCAGGAATCTGTCCACCTGGGAAAGGGGGCCAAGAAATTTCATTGCTAATACATTTTATGGAATAATCTGCTGTTCGGTTTCTGGCATGGAATGATGGTAAAGAACATATCAGAACACTATGTAGAGTGGAATGATGGACTTATGACTGTGAAGTACTATCCATTGAAATACTAGAGGGGAAATCAGTAGCCAGGGAGGAGACATGGAGGGGAAATCCCAGAGCCTATCAAACTGTATGATAATAATAATAAGAAGAAAAAAGAAAAAACACTGTGTAAAATACATAATACTGTTGTCCATTGCAGAGGTCTGGATTTACGTCTCATTCACCTCACAAGCTCTGGGGTTTTGAGGGGTCAGATCGTTGAACCTTAATTCCCTTTGGACCTCACACTAGGTGTGGATGGCCAAACTCCGCAGGGATCTCTGAACTACTCAGCTGCCTGAGTTCTAAGATCGCATAATTTAGTTCACCCAAGTGTAAAATAGGTAAATGTGATACATGTCGGGGAGGAAGAGCCCAAAAAATGGAATTGACTTTGTGAATTGTCAAAGAATTTTTTGAAGCCCCTCCATTTGCTCTTTATAAAATGTATGTATGACAAATGGCTGGAGTTTTGCATGGATCTCTGAAGACACAGTTCTACTACTCTGAGACATTTTATTTTCATTTTTACAATTCTTCCCATCTATCACAGGTACAAAAATTATACATTTGCAAAAGAATACACTGACTTAGAACACAGTGCTCACACCTGGCACAGCAGATCTTGAAATATTCAATGCCAGAGGAACTTCCACCTACGTGCTCTTTCTTTGCTCAGAGTGCATTGCATTGAAAATATTTCACAGTGGGAGGTTGGACTGCAGGCGATAAAATTGATTAAAGCAGGTCAAAGCCGGCTGCTTGCCAGAAGGCAGCAGGTTCTTACATAACAAAATGTTTCCCTGCACAGTAGCACCATTTTTCTATTTGCTTACTTCTTTTTTCTTATTAAATTTATTTATTTTACTATTTTATGATACTGTTCCATAGGCTCTGGGATTTCCCTTCCTGCTTCCCTAAATCCCACCCCCTCCCCAACACCACTAATAGAATAGTCCTTCATAAACAATAATAAGTCCCTCATTTTGGTAATTAAGTGTATCCTCACATTGTAGGTATGGACAATGGCAGACAGTCCAGCATCCTATTGTCAAGATACATTTACCAGTTTCATTAGGAGTCCATCTTTGATTTGGAAGTAGAGGTGTATTCTGCATTGTATTTTCACATCTGGATATGATAGTCTCTATGACACAGTTACTAAACATCCCATTAAATGAAAAGTCATAAAACAAAATCAACAGCAGGAAGAAAAAATTAGAAAATTAACAACACCATAAAGTTAAGCAACATGTTACTGAATGACCAATGTGTCACGGAAGAAACAAAAGAGAAAATAAAAAACCTTCTTGACGCAAATGTTGCTACTGTATGACCTATGAGTCAGTGACAAAATTAATAAGAAAAAGCACCCAACTTTTCTCGAATGAATGAAAATAAAAACAAAAATACCCAAACCCATGAGATTCAGCAAAAATATTGAAAGGACTATTGATCTTGTATTTGGTGTGAAGGTTGCCTTACATCAGAGGGAACATATTTAAAATGCCATCTTGGAGGCCAGCTTGATGGCCCAACAGGCTAATCCTCCTGCAAGTACCAACACCCCATATGGGCGCCAGTTCGTGCCTTGGCTGCTGTACTTTCAATCCAGTTCTCTGCTTATGGCCTAGGACCCTGCACTCTCATGGAAGACCCAGAAGAAGTTTCTGGCTCCTGGCTTCAAGATCAGCTTAGCTCTGGTTGTTGCAGCCAACTGGGGGAGTGAACCAGCAGATGGAAGATCTTTCTGTCTCTCCTCTGCATCAATCTGCCTTTCCAATAAAAACATATAGATTTTTAAATGCCTTTTATTTATTTATTTGAAAGGTAGAGAGGCATACAAAGAAAGAGGGAGAGAAACATTAGAGATCTTCCATTCACTAGCTCACTTTCCAAACATCTACAATAGCTAGGGGTAGACCCATCTGAAGACAGAAACTCATTCTGGCTGTCCCACATGGATGGAAGGGAAACAAGAACTTGAGCTGTCACTTGTTGCCTCCCAAGGCAGGAAGCTAGATTGGAAGCAGAGCCAAGACTCAAAGCCAGCCATTCCAATATGGAATGCAACCACCCCAAGGAACAACTACTGCACCAAACACACACACCCTTTCATTCCAAAATTTTTATTGAACTTCTTTTTTCATTCTCTGTGTTGGTTCAAGAAGTACTAGAGTGTGAAGTCAGGAGCAGAGGAAGCTGGCCTTGGTGGAATGATTAAGACAGCGCTTGAGATGCCCATGTCCCATACTGTATTGCCTGAATTGTAGCCCAGCTCTGTTTCCAGTTCAGCTGCTAATATACACCTTGCACAGGCAGCAGATGATGGCTCAAGTACTTGGCTCTCCCTACACAGGAGGCTCAGATGCCCTAGCTCAGCCTGGCGGTTGATGACATATTTTTAAAGATTCATTTTCCTTTTAAGGCAGACACAAAGAGAAAGAGAGACAGAGAGAGATCTTCCAATCACTGGTTCACTCCCCAAGTGGCCACAACAGGTCAGAAAGAGCCAGGTCTCCCAGACAGGAGCAGGGTCCCAAGGGTTTTGGAATGTCTTCTACTACTTTCCCAGGCCACAACAGAGAGCTGGATGTGAAGTGCAGCAACCAGGATAGGAACCAGTGCATATTTGGGATTCCAGTGCATGTAAGGCAAAAATTTTAACCACTGAGCCCTGGCATTGGGCCCTGTTGCTGACATTTGAGGCGTGAACCAACAGATGGAAAATCTGTTTGTCTCTTTGCCTTTTAAATAAGATCAAAATAAATAGATGTTAAGATGTTATAGTGAATCGGGACTATTTCCGATGGTTGCATGAGGAGACTGAACAACATTTTGCTCATGGTAAGGGTTTTAACACCCATTTTATTTGCATAAGTGTTCATGATTTTAATATTTCTAGGCTTCCAGCCACACTGGACATGTATTGGATGAAACAAGTGACTTGGTAGTAAGACAGATGAAAGCAGAGTATGACTTGGTCCATTGTCCCGGGGGAATCAACTGAGTTCTGTAGAGAAAGCTACAGGCAGAACTAGATGAATGTTTTTATTGAGGATTCTGAGACTGAGAAGTAGTGTGTACTGTCTAAACTCAAGGTAGAGATAAAAGAAATTCTCATTGCCTCATGATTGCTAACATTCTGAGGGACACCCTTAGCAGATGTTGTGGTTGGAACAGGGTTTGGCTTCCCAAATGCATGCATGCACTTAATTCCCAGAGTCTTATGTTAATAAATAATGAATTAATGGTAGGTAGGTTAATGGTGGAGTCAAGATCCAATTATAGCACATAGCAGTGGATTTTTAAAAAGTGATTAGATTTGATTAAGCTACTGAATTGGGGTTCTGTTATTCAGTCACAGTCCCTTACAAGAGAGACACATATGAGGAGAAAGCATGGCCCCTGTTTCTCTGCTTCCTGGATTGCTATGTGATCACCTTTCTGCCAACATCTTAGGCTTATCGTTGCCTAAAACAGTAAGTTTCTCTGATCTTGGATTATGAATCCAAACTCTAAGCTGACATAGACCTTCCTAAAGAGCTCCTCTCAACTAGTTACAGTAACAAAAGGCTGGTTAAGGAAGCAAAGATATTACTCTCAAAGCAAAAATAGAATACCAGAATAATGAGACCTGCTGAAACAAGTTCATGAGCAATGGGCATTGCTGAATGTAGGTGCTGGGACAACACAAATAAATTATGGACAAATAATTCTAACACATAATTAGCAGCACCTAGGACACACTTATTCAGAGTTTGTTATCTGCCTAGGTGATTATATGATGGTCAAATGTAAGGTGCTAGGAGAAATGGCTAAGAGGCAGGTAATTGCCAGCCAAGTTCCATTAATGTGATTCTATTTGTTAGCCCTGGATAGTGAGATTTCAGGAAACATTAGGCACATACATAATTTCGTTATTTTTTCTTTTTTAAAAAATAGTATTTTTAATGATGTTTACAATGTTGAGAGGGATGCTTGCCCATGTGGACCACCAGTTAGGATAGGGAGGATTGAGGAATGGGGAAAGTAGATGAGACAACTACCTCTAATTTCCTTTTTTCTTTTGTAACAAGGGAAAGTGAGGAGAAAAGGGGAGAGGGACACTCCCAGCAGCCCAACCAGATCAGCAGCCCAACCAGATCAGCAGCCGGAAATGGGGAATGGCCACCTGATGCCATCCCAGAGTCTCCATTGTGGAGCATGTTCTGAGAGTACTGCTTAAGTGGTTTTGATAGTTCTGAGATGCTTAGAAAGTTGAGGAAATCCTTCCAAGGTCCAATGGCTGACGTAGTCCACCTGAGAGTCTCAATTCTCCTATGTATTTGCTGTCAAAGATTGACTAAGAGAACTGTCCAATTTGTTCTTTCCTCCACGGTACTAGACCCTCCTCCACAGGCCTCAGTGAACTGGTTATCATGTCCTCCATGAGCATCTGGGCAAGCCAATCACTGCCTCACCAACCATAGAGACCCAGTGCTTTTTATTGTTCGTTTTTTTTTTTTTCTGTATCTGGGGTAATGGGAGAGATACAGGGAGAAGCCCCACCCAGCCTTCCACCCATCCCAGGTCCCCAACGTGGGGCATGCTCCGAGGGTCCTACTCAAGTGGTTTTGATAGTTCCACAGTTCTGAATTAGTGCCAATCTCACCATTCCAAGCATGATAAAATCGCTGCAGAATCTACTGGCTGACCATAGTCTACCCTAGAGTCTCCGTTTGCCCTGATTTTCATTGACAACACATGGCTGGAGTAGTTGATTGATTTATTCTGTCCTCCATCCTCTGTTGTGGTACCAGATGTCCTCTACAAGTTCCAATGGACTGCCACATCCTCCATGTGCACCTGAGTATGCTGTCCACTGTTCTGTCTCAGCCTCTGAGGAGGCTCAGCTTTGACACTTGCATTCCATGAACAGACCATGAAACCTGCACTTCTCTTCATGGTCGGGGCTCTGAGATCAGCAGTTCAGTTGGAGGGATCCCCAAAGAAACTGCTCACCAGGAGGAGCAATGATCCAGCAGTGGAGCCCCTACTGTTTGCCTACTGGGCTTGCCCACAATCCTGGGTGTTAAATGCACTGGTTGGAGCTGTGGCCCAGACTGGCATGACTTGCTTTACTAGCATCACCAGTGGATTCAGCATCCCTCGCCCTAGCCTGCCCCTGTTTCAGCTCATGCTGGCGGGTGCTACAGCCTAGCCCAGCCCAGGCAGCCCCGAGTTCCAGCCCTAAAATGAATTAGCTGGTGCTGTGGCCCAACCCAATCTGTTCTGCATCACATCCTGGTTCTCATATCTACCAGGCTGTGTTTGAACTAGCCTAGCCTGGTTCGCACCCAGACCTGACACAAAAGTATGCCAGTGGGTCACACAGTATGCCACTGTAGCCTAGCCTGGTCTGGGCTGCTCCCAGTCTTGGTTCTTGCACTCACTTGCAGGGACTGTGTCCTGGCAGAAGAGTTTCCAAAGATCCTCGGTAAGATTACCTTCTAGTAGCAAATCTCACGCAAACTGGTGGGTGCTTGGTCAAGCTGATTTGGCTCACCTACTGTCTTGGCATGTACAGTGGCCTTGCACAAACATTGTACATGCATTCTGGCTCTTACTGTTGGGTGCAACAGTCCAGCCCTGCCTGGCCCATCCAGACCCAGCTCTGGCATGGTTTAGCAGGTGCCAACCTAGCCCAACCTATCTTACATCCACTTTGGCTCTTGTGAACCCTAGTGGGTGCTAGATTTTAGCCCAGCCCAGCACATCCCACACCCAGTCCACACCCACGTCTAGGGATACTAAAGCCCTATCCAACCTAGTTCACCTCTCCCATTCTGGCACCTATATTCGCCAGAGAGAACCCCCACACATCCAGGGACAGTCTGCTCCCAGCCACAGATCTTGTGCATGTTGGTGGTTGCTCTAACCTAACCCAACAAACTCATCACCCATCTTGCCCTTTTCCATCAGATGCTGCAGCCTGACCTGGCCTGGCCTGCTCCTCATCCCAACTCTCCCTGGTATATGCTGCAGCCTAGTTCTGTCAAGTCTGCCCCCATCCCTGGCTTTTGTGCAAACTAGTAGGTGTGATAGCCTAGCTTATCCCAGTATGGCCCACACCCTATCCTTGCCCCCATGCATGACAGTGTACTATGGTCTGACCTGGCTCTGCCCAGTATGCCCCCACTCCACCCCTGCAAGCCAGCCCACAAACCTGCTGACAAGTGAAGCAACTTTACCCGGCCTGACCAACACCTAGCCTTGACTCTTGTGCTACCAAGCAGGAGTCATGGTCCACCAAGGGAGTTCCCTAGTTACATTAAACAGGCCCACTCCCAGATCCATATCTCACACATGCCAATGGGTGGTAGGCTGTTACCTGGCAGTCTGCCCCTCAGTGTGTGCTGGGTGGATGTTGTTGCCTGGCCAAACCCACACCCAATTTTTGGGTTTCCTGGAGATGCTACAATCTGGACCAGCCCAGCCTGTTCCCAACCTCAACAGCTATGAGTGTCAGTGAGTTTCATGGTATGCCTAGCTCAGTCTGTTACCACCCCCAACCTTTAAGCAAAACAGCTGGTGTGCCAGTCCAACAGGATTGAGCCCATGATCCCCCACAGAATATGCTCTCATACCCAGTCCTCTAGTGCCTGATGTCAGCAATCCCAGCTCAGGTCTCCCACTTGGGTGGGTGCATTGTTTTGGTCCCTAAAGATCCTCCAGTTTCCCTCCTCCAAACTACCCAGTCACAGCTCCCTCATTTACCTGCAAGTGCTGTAGCCTGGTTCCTCCAGAAGTCACACCTCCCTTCGGCAGTCCTCCTTCACACACATCTTCAGACCTGCTTTTCTATGCAAGCCACAGACCCCCACCCCCATGTCTGCTAGCATACAGATCTCCAAGTCCAGCCCTTCTATGGCGTGCTGTGCCAGCCTGGGACCCTGCCTGCCTACCCAGGACCTACATACACTGGCATGCGAGTCCTCAGACCCTGTCTGTTGATGTGCAGGCATCTGTCCCCCACATATCTTTAAAATAAATAGAAGAGGCAACTATGCTGACACACTGGTGCAGTTAATACAAATTTGGCATTACCCAGGTCCAGGATGCCTGGCAGCCCTTAGCTGCTTTTCTCCCAGCACTGTAGCACTTGCCTAGGTACAATGCAACCTGGGCAGTTGCCTACAGCTGAGAAATTCTGTAATTTTTCAGTCATTAAATTTTTGGTCTTCAAATTAATACTACATATAATATGTCATATTTGTCTCTTCTCTAAACTTTTCATCTTATTTCCTCTCAGGTATTTTCGCATCAAGGGCTTGATGACCTGACTCACAAAGTCAAGATCGTATCACCTTTATAACTTCTTCAGCACAGGTATCAGCGGTCCCATGTCAAGGTCATTGCTTCTAATTTTCCAGCCAGAAGCAAGATCCGATAATGAAGCAGACCCCCTACCCTCACACATAGCTGATACGTAATTCAGTGTCATGGGATGCCTTCATCATTGCAGGTATCTAACTCATATTTTCCACTGAAGGCCTTGTGGGTGGGAAAGGCAGAAAAAAAAACTCCAATCCTCTTGTCTTTTTATAATCCTTGTCATGTCTTTGGATTGCCTCCAGGATGCGGCATCATGACAAGAGAGCAGAAGAGAGAATGTGATAAAGCACAAGCTACAACAGAGAAAAAGGCAGCCTCCTACTCACTGCCATTGTGGGAGTGGAGGGTTTCTGTGCACCCAGGTATGTGCTGATGTGTGTCAAGGTATAAACAGATACCCTGGACTCTCAGCATTGCATAAACATTTCTTTTATTCTATTCAATAATTATGTTAGTCTAGATTATTTGGAGGCGATTCACACTTAGGGTAACATATCAGTAACTGATCCTGAAAGACTCAAAGATATTAACAAAATTTCAAATAAATCAGAACACTTCTTTGTACTTCATTACAGCAAAGTTACTTAATAAACTTTTTTTCAGGAATACAAGCTACACATATTGTATACTATTTGAAGTATAAAACAGATAATTTATTGAAAAATGATTAATTCTATATATGTCTTACATGCTTAGCAAAAAAATTCATAAATGCTTAAGTTTAATCTAAGTCCAACATTAAAACATTTTCAAGTGTAGAAGATGGCTGATGGTTCGATGCTGAGTCCGCTAGTTTGATTCATACCAACCTTGACATTCAGTTCCTTCTTTATCTTCCTGTAAAATCCCATAGACTTCAGGCGTATTATGAATTGTGTGTTTGTATCACCCAGTATTCAGCGTTTCTAATAGAAATACCTCTGTTGCCCTATGCCATTTTTACCAGTCTTCATTTCCCAAAGCTTTCCTCTAGGCATTTGGTCACCAAGTCATTCTCCTCACTTAGCTGTCTGTATAGCATTTAAAGCATTTTTACACAAGGGAAGTTTTCATTGTTTCATTTTTAATTTTATGGTACAATTCCATAGGTAAGTCTTCATTTTACAGGCCAAAAAATCTTAATAGTATCATATAAAATGAGAAATTCTCCAAATTATTATCTACAAAGATAAATTAACATTACCTTCCCTTCCCTTTTTCTCTTTTGTTTATAATTTTCCCATCCTCATTGGTAAAACATCGTTTTTTTCATGCAAGTTTCAAAGAAATGCATTATTCTGGTATCTGTTTTATTGTATAGAATCCACCTTCCTCCTTTAATTTGTTGCATTTCAATTTACAGTGACAGCAGAATGGAAATGGTGTCAACCTCCCTGTGTCCTCAAAGTCTGACACTGTGGTTGTTTGACCCAGTTGCTTTCGTAGATTTATTCTTTCTTCTCTGCTCTCATTCTCCAAACTAAGTTGCCACCTCTATTCACGAGACAACTGACCCACATGTGAGAAACTCTAGTTTGAGAGCTGGCTGCAAGAAGGAGTAAAGAGGCAGAACTGTGTGTGAGAGAGAGGATATTAACCTTAGGTAGACTTGGATTGCTCTGCCTTTTTGGTAAATACAGCACATTAGTATCTGTGCAGGATCAGGATCTAAAATGACTCCAAGAATAAACACTGTAAAACTAGACCTCAGGATTCTGAATCTGAGGGATCTGGCTGCTTTCTACTAACACACAAACCAGCTGAGGCATCATGCCACCAAAGATAACGGAGGGAATCTCCCAGAGTACCACCATACCCAAGAGGTCAGCTGGAAAACAGCCTTGATCTATCACGTTCCTTGAAGCACATCAGTTCTGCTTCCAAGCATGAGTTTTAGGGGAACTGTATCACTACTCCTCGATCTTTGTCTCATCTAAAGAGGCTGAGGGCAAGAGACTTTCAGAATCCAGAGCGCTGTCAGCATCTTCCCTGGCCTGCTGCTTTTCTCCATTCAGCTCCTGAAGAAACGCCAAGATATGCAAAGCCTCGGCATCTTCGTTATTCCTGGAAAGCCGCCTTTCGGCAATATTTCTCAGTTTGGTTTTCAACTTCTCTCGCTCCCTTGAAGCCCTGTTTATTCTCACACCCTCCATGTAATGGTGGATGGCCTTGTCTTCACACTTCACGTTATACAGCTGAAAATTGCCCCAACGCAACTGAAGCAATTGTTTTGACACAGGATCAAGTTCTTTGCTAGATTCCTTTTGGAAATAATGCTCTGCTGTTTTGCACTGACCAGATAGAGCATAGAGGCTGCTCAGAGAGGAACCAACACGGTAGAGCTTCTCATTGGACTCAGCTTTCTTAAAATGATACTCTGCTTCCTTTATTAATTTTGATAATTTTTCCTTCCTGTATGTTCCACTCTTTTCCTTTCTTAGTACTTCGTCGATTTTTATCTTATAGCAGCTGGCGATATGGTAATGGAGATGGGTGTTGTTTGGCATGTGGTCTAAAGCCTTTGCGAGCAGTTCTATAGCCTTGTCAAACGACTGCTTTGCCCGATAAAACTTTGCAGCACTGCAAAGCACATCTGTTGCCTCCGGGGCAGCTTTCTCCAAGGCTTCTTCAACTAATCTCTCTGCTTCTTCTTCTTGGGAAGGGGAAGTTACCTTGAGAAGTTCCAGAGCCAGGAGGACTTTAATATACTGATTCTCACCATTCAGCTTTATGGCTTTCCTCAGATGGTCAATAGAATTCTTATTTGGTGACCCGACATCCAGACGATAGCTTGCTATTGCCAATCCAGAAAATAATTCTGGGTTCTTTGGGCTCTTTTCTAGAGCCTTCTGGAAACACACCTTGGCATGTTCATTGTGCATCATTCCACATTTCAGCCGTGTCCATCCTTCCTCAGAATCCATCTCAGGGCTCTCAATTCTGTAGGGACTAGAATACTTCTTACAGACTTTTTCCACCATGTCTACATACCTCTGAGCTTCTGAGAACTGACCCATGTGATAGTAGACCCAGGCATAATTGCCCCAGGTGACCAGGCTTCTGACTTCTGCTTTGTGAGCATGATCTTGCTGGATGAACTTTTCAGCTTGCTCTAAGCATTCCAAGGCTGCCTCATTTTGGCCTCTGCAGTGCTTGATGTAGGCCAGTAGGTTGCATACTGTGGCTCTGAATTCACAGTTCTGAAACACATTCTGGTTAAACACTCTGTCCTCAAAGTCATCTAAGGAATTTTCTCCCTCTAGCAAATTCCAAGTGAAATGACAGTTTAATTGCTGTAAGCAGCTCTGCAAGGATTTCTGAATGTTCTCACTGTAAGGGAAGTCAGAAATATGAGCACTTTGAGACAACATAGATTCATCGGTTGAGAAATACCAATTTCCCATTTTTGAGTATATGTTCACTGAAGCATTAGTCACACTGGCCAAGATACATAAACCTAGGTGTCCATCAATAGAAAAATGTGTAAAGAAAATGTGTGGGGGGGGGGTGTGATGGGTATAAGAGAATATTATCCAGCTATAAAAAGGAATGAAGTTCTGTCACATGCAGCAGCTCAGATGGAACTGGAATTCATTATGCTAAGTGAATCAATCAGGCATGAAAAGACAAATACTGCATGTTGTCACCTACATGTGGAAACTAAAAAGTTGATTTCATACAAGTAGTGGTTTTAGGATACTGCTTGCCAGAAGCTAGAAAAAGCATGTGGCAGAGGGTGGGGTGGGGTTGTGGAGAGAGGATGGGTAAATAATACTGGAATGCATTTAGATAGGAGGAATAACTTTTCATGTTCCATAACACTGTAGGACAACTATGGTTAGCAATGATTAACTGAATATTTCCAAGTTGCCAGTAGAGAGTATTGTCAATGTTCTCAACATGAAGAAATATGTCTGAGGTGACAGATGAGCCAGTTACCCTGGTCTGATCGTTACATTTTGTGAACATGGACTGAAATATCACACTGTATGACATAAGCATGTATAAGCTATTGTGTGTCCTTTAAAAATAAAAGTACAATAAGACAAAGAAGTGAAATCATGGAATCATAGCAACCAAAATCCTCCTCCAACAGGATATTAATTCAAATTAAGAATAACAAACTTTTCTCGTTTTTCCCCCCCTTCAAAATTCAATGACTGGGCAGCAGCAGAATTGACAGGAAGTAGGTCAGGTTCTAACTTGGGGCCAGATTTCTATAAGCAAGGTTCCTTTTATGGTGGTTCTGCTTTGGACAACCCTGGCAGGGCATGGCAAACCTGTGACAACTAATTCTGACAGAGTTTAGGTTTTCTTTCTGTAGTCTTGATGAAATTCTTCTATATATTTGATATTTTCTTTGTTCCTCATTCTTACCCAGATTTGCTTCTGTATTTTGAAAAATTTAGCTTTATGATTTTTTTTCCTCTCATGATGACTTACCATGCTGACTTAGATGCTTAGGCGTCTATCTGAAATTCACCTCATTTTATCTTCTATATTACCAATTTCTCAGCATTCCTTAGTGGGTTTTTTTTTTTTTAGTGTTTATTTGAAAGGCAGAAAGATAATAACAGACAAAGATCTTTCATCTCCTGGTTCACTTCCCAAATGGCTACAGCAGCTGGGTTGTAGCCTGGCTAAGGACAGGAGCCAGGGGTTCCATCGTGGTCTCCCAGGTGGATGGCAGGAACTCAAGCAATTCAGTCCTCATCACCTGTTGCTTCATGGTTACATCAGTGGGGAACTGAAGTGCAATCAGCACTCCAATAGGGGATGCAGGCACCACAAGCGGTAATTTAACCTACTCTACCACAATACCTGTCCCCTCTGTAACTGGCCTTTTAAGATCATCTATATTTCTATTTTCAATAATTATTTTAGCTTTTAATGTATTCTTTGTTATATTCATAAAGGCAGAATACCAGAGAGAAAATTTCCCAAATGGTCACAGCAGTCAGGGCTAGGCCAGGCTGAAGCTAAGAGCCAGAACCCAAGCTGCTACTCCCATGCAGTGACAGAGACCCAAGTGCATAAGCTATTACCTGCCTCTACCCAGGTGCACACTAACAGGAACCTGGACTGGAAGTACAATCAAGACACAAACTCAGATACTTCAGTTTGAGACATAGGTGGCTCAAGTAGCAACTGAACCACTGCATCAAATGCCCACTTCAGGAAGTAGTGAAGAGCCAAGTTGTCCTAACTCACTCTAGTAGAGAGTCTACGATAGTGAATGGTATGGTATCTGACTTTCTAAATTAAAAGAATCCTCCCCTTGAAAAAATCATGCCCAACAGAAGGTTGCTCTTCACTCATGTACTTCTTAGCGCCTTTCTCACTCTGTACTAGAGTGGTATAGTTGGAATGCTGTCCAACCTGTACAACATATAATCAACTGTGCTTCTGCAGAATGGACACATTTGCTTACAGTCATGTTGAACCCTTATAGAAATCAGAGTCTTTGCTGCTTACTCCTGGGTTTTTATTCCACTGATAAGATGGAGAACCTGGTCTCACATACTTGCTTCTTAAGCTCAGACTTGCACCTGATGTCTCTGCAAGTTCTAGTTGCTTACATGACAACTTCTCACTTTACTTTTAGTCTGCATGAAACCTACGTTGATTTACGGACTAAGCTCTGAGCTAATGCTGCCACAACAGTGTCTGAAAACAGTGCGCCCCCCAGCAGTCTGTGAGGAACACCAAGCTCAGAACCTATTTCAGACCTACCAATTCAGATTCTGTGACGCTGAGCCAACCAATCTGTCTTTAGCAAGCTATGCAGGTGATTCTTGTGTATGCTTAGGTTTGGGATCAATATCTTAGAACACTGGAACAACACCTAGTGAAAGTCCTATTGTTAAAGAATCAAATGAGAAGACGGACTGATGGGTCTGACTTGTTCTATGGAAGAAAGGTTCAATAAAAGCATACTAAAAGTCTAGAGAAGAGGAACAAAGGTTCTACACAAAACGAGGTGGTCCTAGAAACAGAAATCCATCAATACTGCAAATACTATTTTCTCATTTAGTGGATACTTTTTTTTCATTTATATTCATGCAAATAATGAAATTTATATAAAATATTAATATATAAATATATACAAATATATTAAATATTTAAGTATACTTAATATATACACATATAAATAAATGTATAAATGTTTAATATAGTGTATATATAACATTTTAAAAATAACATCTGATAAAAGCATCCCAAACTGAGGCATGTGCAACCAAGTACAGCCACTCCACAGTCCAACTGGGAAAAGGAAACTCTGCCTTCCTCCCCAGAGTGACCTAACACTCCCTCCCCAGGACAATCTCTTGCTTCTAGGGAACTTGAGAATTTGAGTGCTGAGAACTATTTTGTTTTTCTAAGCACTCCAGCTCCAGTTTATACTTTAAGTAGGAAAACTCTAGCCAATCAATAGAATTGGATAATGAAAATGTATGTGAGATCTATATTAGTTTACCAGCTCTAAAGGAAATCTGAGATGAATGAAGCTAATAAAAGCAAAATAGGAGAGGAGTTGGTGTTGGGATGTACAGGTTTAAGTTGCTGCTTGGGTCACCAACATCCTCTCTCACAGTGCTGGTTCAAATCCAGGCTATTCTGCTTCCCATCCAGTCGCCGGCTAATGCAATTTAAAAGGCAGTAAATGATAGCTCAGTAACTTGGACCCCTGTCACTGGCCTCTGGCTTTGGAATGGCTCAGCCCTGTCTATTGCAAGCATTTGCTCTTATTCTCTGTCTCTCTCTCTCTCTCTTTTTCTGTCTCTCCTCCTCCTCTCTGCCTTTCAAGTAGATGAAAAAACAAACCCCTCAAAAGTGACATTTAATTTTACACAGAATGCAATTGCTATTCTGAGTATACCTTTAACAATATTTTCCAAAAAATCTTATATTAATGAACACTTGTATGAAAAACTCTCGAGTTAATCCTTTCAAACAACAAAAAGGGGAGGGTGTGATGGGGAGGAGGGAGCAGCTCGCTGGAGCAAGCCCCAGGCTTATCTCTAGGTGACGCTTGGCTAATCAGGCATCCCTATCTGCCTGCGTTGCTCTCCAGCTCTGTGACCAGATTGCACACGTCCAGAATCAGAAAAGAAAGGAGAATCTTTACCTCATGATGGCCACACAAATCCCAGCTCTCTGAAGGGTTGTAGTTCAGACTGCCACAGTTCTGAGACTCCTTCCAAATGCAATCAAGCTCGCTCAGGGACCTTATTTAAATCAGAGTATGGTTTCTTTTTCTGTTTCCTTGCCTTTGACTTTCCAAAAGAGAAACTGAAACTGGAAAGTGAAATCTTGAAAAGTCCTTACTAGAATGAAACTGGGATCACAGCCAAACCCATCTAGGGACCGTTCTGTGCAATAAATCAGAAGCACTTCCTGTTAACAGAATGTCCTGCTGAGCTTGAAATGCGAGGACACTTTGACAAACATCCCTTCGAGACCAGCAGTTACCTAAAATCTCAATGCTGCGTGGTACTGCAGACATGCCAATGCAAAGAATGAACGTTTTCAGTGCTCAGGCATTGAAGGCAGCTCCTGGGGCATTTGTGGGACTTCCCTGAGCCTGTGGGCCAACACAAACCCAGACCCAATCCTTAGAGCTATTACAGAGTCCACAGGGAGACCGCCCCCCCATCCAAGGAATGCTGTGTCTATACATCCCCAGGCAGGACAGCTTAATGAGGTCGCCAGTGAGCTGAAGAGTCCGGGGCCAATGAAGGCAGTGCTATTGCATTTAGAATGAGCCCCTGGAGAGTATTGGAGCCAATACTCAAAGCAATCTGACCCATGCCTGTTTCAACTTGGATCAGGAACTCTGACTCCCTAAGTAAGGACCAGGGTGAGAGCTGCATGAAGAATACAAGTGCTGATTTGTCCTCACAACAACTTCTGCTTTGAGCAGGTGACAATCCTAGAAGAATATGAGCAACCAAGGGGTGGATGACCTAACTACTCTGACCTTTGTATCCCCACTAACAAGGGACACCTCAGCCAAGACTCTAACACAGAAGCTAACATCCAGATGGCTGCGGGCAATCATGTAGCACACCGGTTCTCACTCCAATCAGGAGCAGGACCAGGGGATCCAGCGCAATTGGGCAGCTGGGATCAGGAATCACCTGTATGGGAGGCTAATGGAGAGACACAAGTGGACTTTAGCAGGAAGACACAGCATTTTGAAACCTTGGTCCTCAATGCCACCAGGTACTGTGGCGCCTCGCTGCCTGACAGTGTCACTCTGGGCCTCAGGGTTATAGATGCTGATGGTTCCCGATTTGAAAAATTCTCCTCTACCAGCTTGTCTCTTATTATTCATCATTAATCTGCTCTTGGCAATCTGATTATTGGATAACCCAAGAAGTACTGATTGAATGAATGACTACTTGTGTGGAAGCAATGGGAATGGTGTCAATCTATTTGGATTTGATACAAAACTCCCTTTCTGTGCAGTGAAAAACTGGTGAAATGACTGAATGTCTCTGGTTTCTTTTGTGAACTGGGAATAATACTATGACCACCAACTCAGAGTGGTATTGGGGAGAGTAAATGAGCAGATATGTTCAATTTTCTTAGAACAGTGCATGAGCCTGACTGGATCCCCAGCACCAGGGGCTCACGAATTCTGCACCCTCCTTGCTGGAAGCACCTAGGATCACCAGGACAGGTGCACTGAGCTTTAAAGGTCTCCCCCTTCCTCCCTCCAAACTGCTTGGTCTCAGCACCTTCACTTACTGAAAGTAGAGTGGGCTTGTCCATGAATGTCCCTCAGTAGTCATTACTTTGCTGGACATGAACCCTGAGGTCCCCACTCAGCCTCACTTGTGCCATAGCCCATACCCCATGTAAGCCCACACACCCAAGTCCCTAGAGCGTGTCACCACCGGGCAGCCTGGGCACCAATCTGGAGTCACCTCTGCCGCTGCTGGATGAGCGGAGGCAGGAGGATGCCATGCACGACCCTTGAAGTCACCCACTACTTCTGCTGAGCATGCGGCATCAGGGTGACTCCAGGCAGGCCCAATCTCAAAAATTCTATTTTTAAAGGTCTCATTGTGGGCTCAGCATGAACGTCTAGTGGCTAAATCCTTGCATTGCATCTGCCAGGATCCCAAATGGGTGTTGACTCATTTCTCAACTGTTCCACTTCCCATCCAGCTCCCTGCTGTGGCCTGGGAAAGCAGATGAGGACGGCCAAAGCCTTGGAAGCCTGCACCTGCATGGAAGACCCAGAAGAAGCTCCAGGCTCCTGACTTTGGATCAGTTCAGCTCCAGCTGTTGCGGCCATTTGGAGCATTAACCAGCAGCATGAAGATCTTTCTCTTTGTTTCTCCTCTCCGTAAATCTGCCTTTCCAATCAAAATAAAGTAAACCTTAAAAGAAAAAATCTCACTGTGGGCCTGGCATGATAGCAGCTAAAGTCCTCCCCTTGGCCGCACCAGGATCACATATGGGTGCCGGTTCTAATCCTGGCATCCCTGCTTCCCATCCAGCTTCCTGCTTGTGGCCTGGGAAAGCAGTCGAGAAGGACCCAAAGCCTTGGGACCCTGCACCCGTGTGGGAAACCCAGAAGAAGCTCCTGGGTCCTGGCTTCGGATTGGCTCAGCTCTGGCTGTTGAGGTTGCTTGGGGAGTGAATCATCAGACAGAAGATCTTTCTCTCTGTCTCTCCTCCTATCTGTATATCTGCCTTTCCAATAAAGATAAATAAATCTTTAAAATAATCTCACTGTGGAGTTACAAGATTTACAAGTTCTGTTATGTGCTTATCAACGTGCATGCAAGGTGTGTAAGAAGTGTTGAAATAGGCGAAGAGGAAAATTGAAACTCTGGCTTGGTTTTCTTGTTAGGAACTCACATTTAAGGAAATTGTTGGATGGAAGTGTTTAAAGCTTGTCAACAAAGGTACTGACTGTTGCTCTGAAGTGCCTAGAGAAAAGGGATTGATTATTGAGAAACCAGAGTATGGCTATTATTGCAGGAATTGCATTGCAGGAATGTACCAGCTGGCCTGGCTGCCGGGTGAGTGTAAGGATAGACAGTGTGGCTGTGAAATAGAGAAACAGAAACTGAAAAAAAAAATCCAACTCTATCATGGTACTATTTCTGTTTTGAGGTGTGAATGTGAAAAATGAAACTTGAGAGTTCCAGGGGACTGAAGGGGAACTCTGCTCGTTGTTCCCACGTGGAGGAAGGTCACCTCGCGGCTCTGTTAGCTCCAGGTCGGCAGTGTTTCTCACTTTGTGATCAGCAAACAGCTGCATCCACCCCGGAAGGAGGACAATTTTAAAAGTAGGTTATCACACAAGTATTGAGGGCTAAAAGAGATGAAAACAGTCACCTCAGAGTGTAAGGGTCATGGAGGAATGTGTGGAAATGTTCGTGTTCTCTGTGTCTACAGGTTTCTGGTGGTTTTGAATTCAGCTGTAGCACCATTTTCACTTCTCTCATCAGCTGCTTCACCAAAGCACTCAAGAGCAGTTCCAGGGCTTAGTGTGGTTTCCAATCAGATTCCGAAGTTTCCTCAGACTGCCTTCCTGCTTCCACAAGGGCTTCAACCAGGGACCCCACGTACTCACTCCAGGCGAAGCACTTGCCCTTATCTATGGGGATAATTGGTATCAGAAGGAAATGAAAGTTACTTTCTCTGCCTTTATAGGGGATTTATAAAATGATAAGATTAAGTTGACATACATTAAAAAGTATAATGAAAGTCCCCCCCCCCCCGCCAGTGGAGAAGCACATGGAATGACAGAAATGAATTCCTATTTTAAAATGAATCAGTGGGGCCCGGCAGCATGGCCTAGAAGCTAAAATCCTTGCCTTGAACGCCTTGGGATCCCATATGGGCTCCGGTTCTAATCCCGGTAGGCCCACTTCCCATCTAGCTCCCTGCTTGTGGCCTGGGAAAGCAGTCCAGCATGGCCCAAAACCTTGGGACTCTGCACCCGGTGGGATACCCAGAAGTTCCTGGATCCTGGCTTTGGATCGGCATAGCATTGGCTGTTGCGCTCACTTGGGGGGTGAATCATCAGACGCAAGATCTTCCTCTCTGTCTCTCCTCCTCTCTGTATATCTGACTTTCCAATAAATAAATAAATCTTTAAAAATGTAATAATAAAATTAAATGAATCAATGGAGGTATGTGAGTTCTGTACAGAAGCACAGTCCTGTAGTGTGGACTGTCCCTGCGAGGTTCGTGCCTGCCACCTTTGGAACATTTTCATTTATCACAGTGCTGGGAGACCATGGGGGCTCAGTGGAGATTCTTTACATATCTTCCCTTATGCTGATGGGCAAGCACGCAACAGCAGAGTGGGATGGGTAGAGCGAAGTGAGCCAAGTCACCCACCTCAGCGTGATCAAAGTCTCTTCTCTCTCTCTGCCAAATAGATTTTTTTTAATTATGTATTTTTACAAATCACTTTGGATGGATACGATTGTGGCTTCATGAAGATAGAGGCCTTTAGTGTGTGTGTGTGTGTGTGCACATGGTAGATGAGTAGGTGGTGTTGGTGTGCCAAGACGTGGGAAACCTGGACACAGAGCACAGTCAATTATGTGTAGAGACTTCCAAACACTGATTAGGTACTATTCTGTTAAACAGTAGGAACCATTTGGGGAATGGTGACAGACGCAGCATTCTGCATTGCCTACCTTAGTTTTGAAGTTGGTTTTGATACTTTGTAAAATTGCATTCTCTAAAAGTCACATTTGTCTATTTGTTGAAGTCAAAGTTAGAGAGCAGAAGAGAGACCTTCCATCCACTAATTCACTCCCCAGATGGTCACAATGGTCAGCAATGGGCCAGATCAAACCCAGGAGCCAGGAGCTTCAGCCACATCTCCCAGGTGGGTGGCAGGAGCCTGAAGTCTTGGGATATTCTTGGTTGTTTTTTTTTTTTTTTAGACCATTAGCAGAGAGCTAGATGGGACATAGAGCCCCAAGACAAGAACCAGCAACACACAGAGGCTAACCCTGCTACACCACCTCACATCAGCCCTATTACACAGACTTTTGATACCAAGTCCAAAATTGAGCCAGACACACTATTAATGTGAGTCCTCCCTCAAGGACTTCCAGACAACCAGTTCCACCTCTGCAGACTACTTAGGAGAGAAAGTGTTCTTCCCAAATATTCCAGGTGTGTTTCTGACATTTTTTTTTCTTCTTCTTCTCTTCCTCTCTTG